AATGAACCTGGGAGTTTTCATAGAAGCTGCAAGGGATTGTCTTGTTTTGGGGTCATTCCATTTCTCACTCCTTGCTGAGAACCAGCAAGTCTTTTCACCCTGGCTGAAGGGAAACCAAAGGCAAACCAAAACTGGTTGGGGCCTCCTGTGCCACGTGTCCAAACAAGCACCCCAAACCAATTTGGTCATTGGTGTTATCATGCACAGGGCTGTGGGACATGACCCAGTTCTGTGATACAACAACAAGGGCTTCCCAAAGACTAGCCCCCCATATGCTGGGGGACATTCCCCAAATTATCGCAGAAGTGGTTGGATAAACCCCGAGTGATCCCACAAGCCCTGCCGGTTTCGTAGCCAGCCAGGCTCTGGGCGTCCGGGCAGTGGTGAATCTCTGCGAGGAGTATGCCGGGCCGAAGGCTGAAAGGGTTCAAGGGCCTACGACCCCTCAATTTGGGGTGGGCTTTCCTTTTATAGGTTCCCTTCCAAGCACAAAAATTGGGTCCAACTCCAACCCCCCAAAAATCGAGCGGCTTTCTTTTAACATTTTTTTGGGCATCACCTCAAAACCAGCCGAGCCGCTTCTCCGCCGGGCCCAGCGAGGCGGAGTACGAGCGCCTCAAGATGCGGCAGCTGCGCCTGCCGACGGTCGACCACCAGGAGCCAGCCACCGCCGACCTCCGCAAGGCAGACCGGTGGAAGCCGAAAAGCAACCCAGGGCGGCTCTGGAAGATTTTGACTCGCCATGTTTTGGGTGTGGCTCAAATGAAGGAGCCAGAGGGCAAATAAGAAAGGTTAGATGGCAAAACTGCAGTTTGGGATGGGAAGGGTAAGTTTATGGTCGTTTCAAGTTTAAGGTTGGCTTAGAGTAGGTCTGTGCTGAGTATAGGGTGGGTTTAAGGTGGATGAGGGTGGGTTTTTTTGCTTACCTTGGCTTAGGGTTGGTTTAGGATTGGCTAAGGCTGGCTTTAGAATGGGTCTACAGTGGGTTTATGATTGGTTTAGGGTTGGCTTAGGGTGGATGTAGGGTTGGTTGAGGGTTGGTTAAGGGTGGGTTTAGAATAAGTTTAGGGCTTGTGTCGAAAGGCTTCAGGGTCGATTTAGGGTGGATTTAGTGTTGGAATAGAATCTGTTTGAGGTGTGTGTAGAGTGGGTTTGGGGTCGGCTTCGGGTGTTGGATTAGGTTGATTTAGAGCAGATTTAGGGTTGATGTACGCTGGGGTTGGGGTACGGTGGGTTTATGTTTGGTTTAGGTGGTCTAGAGTAGGTGTGTGGTGGCTATAGGGTTGGCTTAGGGTTGGTGTAGGGTTGGTTTAGGGCGGGTTTGCGGTTTGTCTAGGGTGGCGTTGGGGGTTGCGCTCCGGGTGGCTTAGGGTCGCTTAAGGGCTGCTTAGAGTTGATTTGGGGTGGCTTGATTTCATAGGGTTTGTCAAGGGTATGTTGTTCTTTTTTTTGGGTTGGATGTAGGTTGGTTTAGGGTTGGTCTGGGATGGTTTAGGTGGGGTTTGGGGTTGGTTTAGGCTTGGATGTGGATTGGTTTGCTGTTGGCTTAGGGTTGGCTTCGGCTGGATTTAGGGTTGGGTCAAGCTTAGCTTAGAGTCTCAGGGTGGGTTTAGAGTTGGATTAGGGTGGGTTCATGGTTGGTACAGGGTGGTTTGGAGTGGCTCAGGGTTGGTTAGGATTGGTGTAGGGCTGGCCTAGGGTTGGTTTGGGTTGGGTTTAGGGTGGGTGCAGCGGGTTTAGGGTGGGTTTAGGTCGGATATAGGCTTTTTTTTTGGGTGGGTTCAGGGTGGGGGCAAGGTTGGTTTAGGGTTGTATTTTTTGTGGGCTTGAGCTTAAGGTTGGTTTTGGGGTGGTTCGGGATTGTTTAATGCTGGGCTTAGCGTGGGTCTACGGAGGTTTTAGGATTTGGTTAGGGTTGGCTTAGGGTCGGTTTAGGGTTGAGTTGAGGGTTGGTTTTGGGTCGGTGGGTCTGTTCAGGGTCGTTTTTGTGTTGGTTTAGGATGGGCTTAGGGTTGGATTAAGGCTAGAATAGTTAGGGTGGCAGATTGGAGTCTTTGGTTCCATCTTTGGGTTCCATTCTTTGGGTTTGCGCCACAGCCATTTCAGGTTTGAGCGGTTGATCTCCGGCAGGCCGTGGCCTTTATCGAGGAGCAGCGCGCGCTGGGACACAAGGTGTACGTGCACTGCAAGGCGGGCCGGTGCAAGTGGCATGTGCGTCAAAGAGCTTGCGATGCTTGCACTTGCCTGAAACCCTGGCTAGGTCCCCCAGCTAGGTGCCCTTTTACCGTTTCCTTTTTGGGGGAGGGTTCCCCTACTCAAATAGACTACAGACAAAGGGTACCCTTATTCTAACCTCTCTGCTGGAGTACCTAGCTGGGGTTCAATTGCCACCATGATAGTACAGAGGTTGAAAGAACCGCCATGGTTTTTACCCTGCCGGATTTGTCCTCTAAGTTTCATTGGCCCTTGGGGAATCGGTTGCAATGAAGAACGTTTGCATCAGCAAATTTGGGAGAAGCGGATCCACCCAACCCAAAGCCAAGCGTCACCGGCACGCTTCGCCAAAGCTCGAGCCGGCGGCTGGCTCGAGCCGAGGCTGGCCACGGCCGAGCTGCAGCGAGGGGCTCGGCAAGAGAGATCAGCTTAAGGAACCCGTTTTTTTTGCACGTGGGTATGGGTCAAAATGAAGCCACCAGGAATTGGATCACAGATTTTAGGTCGATGTTTCCATTTACCTGGGCAAGCCATTTTCGGTTTTTGCACATGGGTATGGATGGGTTTAAAAGGAAACCAACAAGAAGACCGAAGCCAATTTTGGGAAGGGTTACCCCTATTTTGAGAAACTCTCACATGGGTACGCCACCAGGAATTGGATCACAGGGATTTTAGTCGATGTTTCCATTTACCGATCGGGCACGCAATTTTGGGGTTACCCTACTTTTGACCCACCGCCATATTCCTTTGTCACTTGCATGGCTTGCCTTCAGCTCGCAATGGATGCATGAAACTCCTTGCTGGGGCAATGTTTTTCCAGTGTCCCCTCGCACCGATCGAAGTGTGAGTCAAGCGCAGGCTGTAGCACTGGCGTGGCTGATTTTCACCAGATCCGCTGCGTCGGAGGCGCGCGCGGGAGTGCAGCGTGTTGAGTGCAGCCCGATTCCGGCTTGACCCGCGTGTGCCTACTGATGCGTCTTTGGAGCTTGTAGCTTCGATGTAAAAGCTTGGATCTTCCTGGCAGTCTCACTGAATCTAGCTTTAGGGCGATTTGCCAACGGATCTTTGGACTTGAGCACTTTTCGTTTGAGACAGTTTGGATTTTCCGAAGTTGGACCCACCAAAAGTCGAGAACTCTTCTTGCAGGGGTCCTTCGCATTCGCCAGGAGGTCCGGCAGCTGAACCTGGAGCTGCTGCAGAAGCGCCATGTGCGGAGTTACTTGTACAGGCGAGGTGACCCAGGGGCCCCGAGGCCACTTTTTGAAACAAATTCCGAGGTTTGGTCGGGGGAGTCAGAGGGGCCCCCAATTTTTCTCCCCAAATGGTTGGAAGTTTGGCATGTGTGGGGATCTCGGACAGGCAGTCCAATATCCGTGCCTTCGTCGAGGGAGTGAAGGCCACAGGTGGGGGTCTGAGCTTTCTTGGCACGGCCGGCCATCCATGGCTCACGGATCATCTTTGGGTCTCTGAGTGGAACAGCTGAAGCTTGGGACCCAGTGCTTGTTGGGATCTTTCCTTCCAGGCGTTAAAAATTCAAGGCGTTCGAGCTCACGTTCTGGGGGCCTAGGCTTGTGCCTCCCGCTCTTTGGGTCCAAGTTGCATGCGCATCCTGCTTGCAGCAAAGTCGCTCGCGGCTCCCTGGCCAAGTCTTGAGGCGGCGCGTGCATCACCCAGGCAGGTGTTTTCAGCATGAGCTGGGGGAAAGAATGACATGTGGGACATAATGACATGTGAGCCACAATTAAACATCGGGTAGGTGAAGATTAGTATGGGACAGTTCCAACCAGACATGGGTGCGGATAGCCGCCTGGGTTCTTTGCATGGTTGGTTCACCATTTTGGTACCGACCGGTTTTGACTATGACTCATGTCATGCTTCATCGGATGAAGATGGGACCCATCAGTTTCAATTGATCAGGCGGGCAGAAAGGAAGGGTAAGCAGGTGCCTGATTTTTAGGCTGCCGCTATGAAATGACTGATGGTGAAAGGTGCCTCACTTTTCTCTACATATATGAATCTATGTGTTTGGGGCCCCGCTTAGAAGCAGATATGGGAGGCCCTTTGTGCCCCTGAAAGCTAGCAGTTGTCAACACATCTTGGGAATCGAGTTTCAGTGGCCGCCCTATGGCCCCATGCATCCAATAGTGAGATGTTCGCTTGCAGCTTGTAGATGGCGCTAGTTGCTGCAAACTGCCTGGCAGGATGCTGGGAGTGAGCCGATCGACAAAAAAGAGCTTTAGTTGAACGTCGCTGGAATGGTGCTGGTTGCCAACTGTTCCATCAAAGCTACATGATCGCCGGTGGCCTCTTGTACAGGCGTCTGGCCGCTGGACCGTGGCATGATTGTTGTTGCTCAGCAGATGCCCTTGGTGCTTGAAACCAATCTAACCTGATCTGTTGGTTGCATTACTAAACTTGATCAACCTGGCAATGGATGATGTGCCGTTCCAGCCATCATGGCTGCTGCATGCCGGTGGCATGCCGGTGGCACGCCAGCCGGACCTTGATGTAGAAGCTTTTGTTGCCAGTTTTGAGTGCGCTGTGGGCGCCTTGCGTCACGCAGAGCGAAGCCCTGCGTCCGATGAGAGGCAAGCTGCTCCTGTGCAGGGAGGAGCAGCTAGCGCCGAAGCATGGCCGCCCCTTTGCTCTTTTTGCTGAACGCGTTGTGCACATGGCCGGCGAAAACCAGCGCATCAGATTTCAGAGATGGAGCACTCTACCCTTGCGGAGCTTCTTTCAGCGCACGAGCCTTTTGCAGCCTCAGCGCTTGATTCGCCCCTGGCCAGGTGGTGGCTCTTCTGAAAGGTCGGCCTCTGGGAGATGATGTGATTAGCCGCGCGCCGAGCATTCTTGTGGCGTGGAGAGGTTTTTGGTTGGGCTTTTTGAAGCAAGCCCCGGTGGTTTTGCACTCCTTCCGTGAGTGGCTTCACATCGGAAATTCCTATCAGCTTCCATCAAGCCGCACCAGTGGCAGACGTTTTGCAAGCACATTCCTCCCGCTTCTATGGTGCCATTTGCATCCAAACACTTGTTGAACATCTGGCTATGGTTCCAAGCATGTCAAAGTGCCACAAGGTTTTCCGCGATATTTTTCCCCAACAGGGTGGTCTGGGGCGGCTCTGAGGTAAGGTTCCGCAAGGGCTCCGCAAGGGTTCCGCAGGGTTCTGCAAGGGGTGCAGGGGGGTCCGGGGCAGCATGGGGCGCTTCTGCGGTAAGGTTCAGCAGGGTTCCGCGAGGGTTCTGAGGTTAGGTTTCGCAGAGTTCCGTGAGGGTGGAAAAAGAGCAGCGCATGCTGCTGGGGAAATCACCTGAGCTTATGCCAGATGAATA